CCGTACTCTTTGATTGTCTTTCTTTAGCGAAATGACGGTATGTTTCACTTTTACTACAATTGACTATATTTCTATAAAAATGGATAACTCTATTAGCAAAGGCTTGTTTTTCAACCCTTTTCATGACGTAAATATTGAAATATCACTAGAATTGTGATAATATTTTGATAACATATATAAAGAAGTCTTAATCGAACACTTGTTCAAAAACGACAATCATAAATATAATTTGATTTCAATAAATAGTTTTGATTTTATAAACATTTAACATAAGTCCGGTTACTAAGTAATACACACTTTATACAGCCCCGCAGTATCCGTCAAAGGCAGCACCGAGGTAATATAATTTAATTATACACTAATATTTTAATGGTACACCTACATGTTATACTTATTTTTATTAATAATTTCTTTACAAATTAATTAAATAAATTTTTTTATTTCGAAATTTACATTTACCGTATTCCCGCGCAACCACCGGCATGCCGGTGTAAAGTGAGGTCTAAAATATGTTTTTTAAAATTTTTTTTTTTAATATAAATACATTAAAAATAAATTGAAATCAAATATCTTATTAATTTTGACATTTTACTGTTTATTTTTGTTGTATAAATAGGTTTATGCTAGAAAAACAGAATTATAAGTAAAATTAATACTAGAATCGCTTTTTTCAACCTTATGCATGACAATTCATAAATATGTGCCTCACTTTATACCGGCATGCCGGCAGTACAGTATCATAAAGCCTTTTTTGTAAAAATGATCAACCTCACTTATTTGCCGTACGGCCACCAACGCGCCCTTATGCCATATTCAATAAAATGCCATTATTTACTAAATGTAAGAGTACATTATGACATAACACTTATGGTTAATTAAAATAACTTTATATTTTAATTTCGTGACATTGAAGTCAATGGTTAACACCTACAGTGCAATGATAGGCCGGAATGCAGTGAAGTATTGTCTGAATATAACGAGTGGTCTATCGATAGGAATATTCTCGCAAATGATACCCGATTTGGGACATAATTAGTGGACATTTTAATAAAATAATTGAATAAATAGAGGACAAATAGTGAACAACATATTTTATAGAGGAATTGAATTACAATTATTATTAAATAATAAGCATACTTGTATAAATATTTCGAACTAACATAATAATTTACTCAATCTATTATATAGGGGCATACATTAAAAAACGGTGTGGGGGAAACTTGAATAGCTCGCTAACTACAAGTCCGAGACAAAGATCTACTATTGATCTTTCAAACTCACTTAACCATATTGACCCATGACCTCTACCCTGACCTGTACCTATGACCTTTGCGTTCATTCCAGTATTTCAATTACTGTACATTTTGATAAAATTTATTTTAAGTGTAAAAGTTGTGCATTAAATGGATCTTAATAATACTTTTTACCGTCTCAGTCTCGGACTTGTAGTTAGCGAGCTATTCAAGTTTCCCCAATACACCGTTTTTTAATGTATGCCCCTATATAAAGTAATTTCTTAAAGCGAGTAAATTGAATATAATTGAGCTTTACTTTAAATCGTTTTAAAAATTGCAAATGAGCAAGGTTAATCTAACAATTAGGCAATCTTCTCAATTCCGACAAAAACACGCTTCGGGAACACCATTTTAACCGATCGTTGGTATTGCAACGGGACGTCCGTTTTGGGAGTCCTGACGAACTGATACTTCAACACCATATGAGCCAAACATAACTTCATTTCTAATAACCCTAATCGCATTCCAACGCAATTACGAGGGCCGCCCCCGAAGGGCAGGTATGTGTACGGCTTAATAAGGTGCTTATTCTCGGGCATAAATCTATCAGGGTCGTACTTGAAAGCATTGGGATAATTCTCGTCGGACATGTGTATGGCGTAAACGGGGATTTCTATCTGTTGGCCGGACTTCAACGTGATACCGGTATCGCCTAACTTATAATCAGCGGACGTGTATCTAAACAAGGCGGAGGGTTTGCCGTGTATGCGCAGGGTCTCGGACACGACGGCATCCAAATAGGGCAGTCGCGCCAACACGTCGTACGCTATCTCACCGGTGGCGGCGCTAATGGCGTCTGTAATCTCGTCGCGTAGGCGGCGCTGACAGTCAGGGTTTAGGGCGAACTCGTAGGCCGTGTGCGCGAGTGCTGAAGAGGTGCCCGCAAACGTCTGGACCATTATGAAGCCCTGGGCGACGATCTCGTCCTCGGAAAGCCGTTTATCCCTAACCTTAATGTCCATCACTTTTCGCTCGACGGCCAACGATTCCTCGTCTTTTGAATGGATTTTATTTTATGTTATTTTATTGTAATTTGAAATTATTTTTACTAAATATTAAGTTTATTTTTAATGTTTGTATAATAGCAATCTGCCCTGATGATAGTACAGTACATACAGCAGTTTTATGATATAAAATTATTAGAATAACTACTAGTTTAGTTTTCGCAAATATATTTTCAAGTTAACATCTAAATAGGCTAGCCTCAATATGATAGCTTAAAATATGAATAGTAGAAACTATATAAAGCAAGTACAGTATAAGTTTGTAAATTAAAAATGACAATTATCTAGATTAACTTAAAATTAACTCGCACCTAAAACTAATTAAAACTAGCTAAATACCTTGATTAACATGATGACTTTCACTATTATCCTGAGTGGTGGCACTGCCATCGCCAGGCTTTCGATCGGTTACTTCAGCATCCATAAGCATCTGAAGAAAATCCTGGTGATTTTTACTCGGATTATCGCGTCTACCCTTTAATAGGTGGCGGACGTAGTCCTCAAAATACTTATTCACATTGGAATCGGCCAAACGAATAAATTTAAGGGCGAAATTTGGCAACACTAGTGTCGCCATCTCTTTCCAGCCCTTATACGTGAACTTTTCTCTCGCGTGTAAAACAAACGGGTGTTCTCTAGTAGTGTCGCCATCTGTCGGCGATTTGTACACATCTATATTTGTAGCAAATATTGTAGTGTTAACCACGTCTAAAGAGAACTTGGTGAACGTATCAATCATGTCCAATTCTTGGCGCTTTTCAGCCAGTACGTCCAAGTAGCTCATGAACGACGTCAAACATTGCTTGATCTGTGGGCACATTAGCCGCATTTTACCCGACCTGAAAACCGGCGATACGATAGTGCGGACACGTTTCCAGTCGTCGCCGCACAGTTGGGTTATATTGCGGCTACGGATCGCCGTTTTTGCCGACCATACTATGTGCCGGCCGGTGAACACGTGAAAGTCCTTCACCAGAATTAATTTGATTAGCTCCGGGTCGGCGATACTGAGCACCGGTATGTCTCCCATGTAATGGCTATAATATACAATAATAGTAAAGTGTATATACCGTATAGTGACAGTTTAAACCTTGTTTACCCGTATATTTTGCCATATTTCTTTTGATAGCCAAGTAGACGATCCTTTTCACTCGTCATTAGAGTGTTGATAATATTGCCAAATATTGGTATAGGTTTGGGACCATTAATACCCTGCTTAGACCAGTAATCATTTCCGCGGCAAATTGACCTACAATATATTATTTATAGTTTTATAAATATGTTTTTATTATAATAGTTTTTACCAATAAATGTAGATCGATATGAACGAGATAGCTAAGACAATTAATCCGTTAATCATATCCATTTTGAATGTTTTTAATAAAAGTAGTACATTCATATAATTGTTCAGGTATATTCCTTAAAATAAATGATTAAATAGTGTTTCAAAAATAATAGATTTTTAGAATAATGAATATAATTTAATTTTGTAATTATTAAATGAGAGTCTTTTTATATATTGATATTAATATTACAAAATAACCAAGTCATTGTAAAAGAATAAAACCCGGATCATGAAAGTATTGTTAATAATATTTTAAAATCATATCACACCCAATAATACAAAATAAATGTAAGCTTTTGTTAAGAGAAAATGTGTAAAACTCAATGTTATTCAGATCACGTTTACATTTAATGCTTAATTTCCATTACGTTGTAATGTTTAAACAAATGCAAACGTTTGTGATAATTACAGACAACTGTCAAATGAACAGACAATTAGATAGTAGAAAAGTTTCTAGAAAATAACAGATAGGCTACTCAACCTAAGTCTCATATATAAGCTCCTAAAAATTCATTGTAAAGGAGTCGATTAAATTAGTAATTACTGTACACTTTACTTATTGTATACGTTTTTCATATTTTAAATAAAATCTTTTTATTAGACGACAAAGAGTTTAACGTTTTTAAAAGTTAAGTGAAGACCGAAAACCGCAAAACACTCCGAAGAGACGACAGTAATTCAAACGGCAAAGCCTTACCAACATTCCTATCGGTAGGAGCAGTCGGGTCGGAGGATGAGTACAGAGGCTCCGGCGAAAGAGGACAACACGACGGACTTCATCGAGAGACCAACCGTTGGCGAAGTGTTCACTATTCGCCTTCGGAACTAAAGAGTGCGGACCGGAAGGCACACCGGGAGGTCGTACACAGCCTCTCAGGACACCTGCGATCCAATCAAAGTGAAAGCCGAGCAAAAAAAGACAAGTCATGATTGCAAAGAAAGCCTCGTAAGGGGTTCACACGTGACAATATTAAATTAATTAACAAATAAACCACTGTCCAGGCCGCGCTGACCCAAGCAACATGATCAGTTTAATTGATATTATTTTATTGTAATTTTATCCTGACAAACTTAAGAGGAAATATTAGACATTTTATAAGGTCTTAAGGAGGCATAGAGGGGCTACTATTTGTGTGACACCATGCCCTAAATTTTTGGGAAATATTTATTTGAATATTTATTATTTTAATTTTAATAAAAATGTTTTGTAATATTATATTCAGGAAAAGTTGTTTTGAAATTTATAAAATGAATTGTAATAGGATATTCAGGACAAATTGTTTTGAAATTTATACAATGAATTGTAATAGGATATTCAGGACAAATTGTTTTGAAATTTATAAAATGAATTGTAATAGGATATTCAGGACAAATTGTTTTGAAATTTATAAAAATGAATTGTAATAGGACATTAAAGACAAATTGTTTTGAAATTTATAAAATGAATTGTAATAGGATATTCAGGAAAAGTTGTTTTGAAATTTATAAAAATGAATCGTAATAGGACATACTGTATTCATAATTTAAATAATTTACATTTACATTCTTATGGTGGTAGTTTTTAATACTTAATATTTTATAAAATAAATTTTTTGCCAACATTAAATAATGAAAATTTTATTTTTTTATAAAATATTTTAAACATTTGAGCATGTTAATAGTCTTGATTACTAATATTAACTAGATAAGAAATTTGTAGTAAATTTTAAACTCTTCTTTGGGGTTTTTGTCCAATTCTTCGAGGTTTATGTTTTCGCCACTATTAGGGTCCGTGAGTACGGCTAGAGTGCGGACTCGCTTCGGACGCCTCCATTGCTTTGCCGCCATCTGTGGTGCCGTTGACTCATTCATTTCAGTGTTGGGTCCGTGTATTTGAACAGTTAATGGCGGGTCACCCGCCTGTATGACAGGTGGGGCCGACACCTGTTGACTTCTGGGCTGCATATGAAGTACAATTGAAGCGTTTTGATGGGCTCATTGTTGGGTGTAATGCCGCTGTTATGAGACAATTTAACGAGTAAGTGTCCAAAATGGTTGTGCAAAAGTGCAAACATACGAGTGCCAATCTGGGCGAAAAGTGCTAACTAGTGTTCAGACATTTTGACTAATTAATTCATAACTCACAACACTAGCTTTTAATTTCTCAATTACTATTAGAAATAATTCTAAAGTTTATAATGAAAAAGTTAAAACTAGTGTTGTGAGTCATGCATTAATTAATCAAAGTGTCTCAACACTAGTTAACACTTTTGTAACAGATTGGCACTTGTACGTGTAAAGGGTGTTGCATATTTTAAAAAATAACACTGTTTACACTGTTGTGGGCGCAACCATGTTGGATCTTAATAAAATTGTTTAATTATCTAAATGGGGAACCTCGTTAGGTGTCAGTAAATTGTGCCAGGATAATCTGCAATAACATAAACTTTATGATGATATCTACCATTTGAATTGATTAAACTTACCGAACATCACTAACTAATCCCGTAAATCTAATTATAGTCACTGGTGACATGCACATTTTACATATTAAATAACATTATAAATATGGATGGCTATTCAATCATACGGTAATTTTTCATATGAATTCATAGACTTATATTTTTCGTAAATATAATCACAATTTGTATTAAAAATCTGACGGATAATTGCCGTCAAAGTATTGGTGAAGTGCCGTTTATATTTATAATGTTATTTAATATGTAAAATGTGCATGTCACCAATGATTATAATTGGATTGACGGGATTAGTTGGTGATATTCGGAAAGTTTGATCAATTCAAATGGTAGATATGATCATAGAGTATATGTTATTGAAGATTATCCTGTCACAATTTGCTGACACCTAACGAGGTTCCCCATTTAGTTATCTAATATTATCAGTTATTTTGTCACAGGTATAATAAAAATACTTTTAATTATTAGCTAGATTTGGGCACTTGAAAATATTATATTTTAATAAAATAAAATACAAAATAATATAAAATAATGTGAATACATAAAATCATTTATGTTAAATTAAGCCAACAAGTTAATTTTAGTTATTTACTGTTTACTATTCTAATACTACTGTATATTGTGTAAAATAATTAGCGGAAAGTTTGGTAAGTTATCTTAGGGATGATTCACAAAGTACGTACGCACGCCTAGGGGGAGGGGGTCAATTTTTGCGTACATACTTTATGAATGACCCCTTATCTATTTGATATAATGTTCAATATAAAAATATAAATTGTTATTGTATTGAACTAAGTAATTATACTTGTATAGTTAAATATTATCAATTCTGATTATAATCAATATTTATATGAATTATAGCTAATAAACCTAATAGTACTTTGTTTATTTTTAAAAATTAAACTTTTACTTAAAAAAATTTTTACTTTAAAATTATTATACCTTTATATGAAACTAAATTTAAAATGCATATACTGACGAGAATAAATACATATCCGGTTAGTAATATTAAATATACTTGTAATCCATCTAAAAGTGTTTACCTTGGCTAGTTGCGGTAAAATAAAATAGAAACATTTTGCTATGTAATTTTTATTACACATACCACTGTTATGTGACATACCATGATAAAGCAGTTTAAAATAAAATTTTGCATCAAACAATGAGGCAACATATTATACTTGTATCTTGTTGTTTAAAGGTGCTATTATAAATAGGATTTAAATGAAAGCTATTTTAAATTAAATAGTTATTATAAAATTAAGTCCCACTGTTTTGTTAATTATATATACATAATAATCGCGTGTATTATAGTTAATTGCAAGCTATAATTTTATTAGCAATACACAATACAATGTTTTACATGGTAATATTTGGCGTATTGTTCATTGTGACATACATTTATTTGTAAGCATACTGCATCATAATAATTATATTAATTTAGCTCGTACAAAACAAAAGTAACATTTAATTTGTAAATTTGTAATGCAATATTTATCATTATGAACAAGCAGATATAAATCTCGCGGTTACGACTACTGGAGCAAACAAGGCATACCGGGTCCCACACCTGTCCCTGTATTTGGCAATTATTTCACGGCATTCCTGACACCAAACCCTCTGAGAGAACGTAATTTCTGTCAGAAATATGGCAATATATTCGGGTATTTGCTATAACTATTTTGTTACTTGATAAATTAAATGAAATTATCAAGGTGAACACTATTTCATTCAACAGTAGTATAGTCCCTAGAATTTGTATTCTATTGGTATTTCATTTAATGTATAATCACTGTGTTAAGTTTATTATGAGTTCATACAAATGACAAATATCTGAAATAGTGCTTGCTTAATTTTCGTAAACACGAAAAATATAGTCATTTTCTGGGTACCATACCCGTGCTCAACATCGCCGATCCTGAACTGATCAAGGCGATTTGGGTTAAAGACTTTCACCTGTTCACCAATCGTACCAAAGTGTGGACCCCTAACAGCCCCCTAACCGCCCGGAATCTCAACCACTTGTGTGGGGACGACTGGAAACGTGTTCGCTCTATAGTATCGCCGGTGTTTACGTCGGGAAAGATGCGACAAATGTACCCTCAAATCAGGGACTGTTTATCCGATTTTACCGCTACATTAGACTCCCTGGCCGGTGGGCACCTTGATGCTCAAGATTGGTGTAGTAGATTGGTACTGGATATAATAGCTAGATGCGTTTTTGGCACACGAATTGAAACGTATAAACAGGGGGACAATTTGTTTTTTAAGTTAGCTAGGCAGAAGTTTAGTTTCAACGTGTGGAATGAGTTGGCCGTGCTCATTTTGCCAAAATTTCTCCAAAAGTGGTTTAGGACAAGGGATAGGGAGTCGGATGAGTATTTTTTGGATACTGTCAGACATATTGTGGCGGAAAGGCGTCTGAAACCCGGTGCTAAATATAATGATTTTATTCAACTGCTTATGGATTCCGAGATTAGGGACAGTGATGGCGATGATGGTGGTGCTGGTAATGACACGGATATAAATGTTGAGCATATAAATAAAGGTATGTGTGTTGTATGTGTGTTATATTTGTTTGTCAACTATTTTTGAGCCGGACTGTTGCATTTGACCAACATTGTGAAAATGTTAATAATTATATCTATACTCATATGTCTAGTAACATAATACTACATTATAACTTTGGTAGATATTTAGCATGCAATTAATTGTTAAATTAAATGTACAAGTGTAGGTGACACCAAAAGTAGGTGAAATGATACAGGAACCTTTTTCAGATGGATCTTAAAAAACTAAACTTTTGAAACTCGTACGGTAATTTAATGTATCCAAAAAAGTATTAGATATTCAATAATTAACAAATTCATGGGCACAGATTTAAAAATGATTTATTTTAAAATAAGCTTTTAATATTATAATAACTAATTTTATATTACAAGTACTTATATAATAATTAAAGAAAATATAATTAATTAATAAATTGCAGGAACGAAGGAACTGGATATCGATCGAAAGGTATTCAACATAAACATCAAGGATAAAAAATTGACCGAGGACGAGATCATAGCGCAGGGCTACCTATTTCTATTGGGCGGGTATTTGGCAACGGCTACGATACTCGCATTTTCGGCCTACGAGTTGGCCCTCAACCCAGACATTCAACAGAGACTTTACGACGAGATAAACGGTGCCATCGATTCAACCGCCGGTGACATACCGTACGACGTGTTGACACGACTTCCCTATTTGGATGCCGTCGTGTCGGAAATACTGCGCCGGTATTCAATGGTCCGGCCATTGGCCAGAATAGCCTCCGCTGACTACAAGTTAGGCGACACCGGGATCACCATTAAGGCGGGTCAACAGGTGGAGCTGCCTAATTTTGCCTTGCACCATTCGGAGCGGTACTATCCGGATCCATGCCATTGGCCAGAATAGCCTCCACTGACTACAAGTTAGGCGACACCGGGATCACCATTAAGGCGGGTCAACAGGTGGAGCTGCTTAATTTTGCCTTGCACCATTCGGAGCGGTACTATCCGGATCCATTTAAGTTTGACCCGGATAGATTTATGCCGGAAAATAGGCACCGGGTTAATCCGTACGCGTATATGCCGTTTGGCGCCGGCCCTCGCAATTGCATTGGTATGCGGTTCGGACTGTTGGTCGTGAAGTTAGGGTTGGCCCGTATGGTAGGCGCGTATCGATTCTACCGGTGCCCGGAAACGGACGTTCCCGTCAACTATCAGCGCTTTATTCATATGAATACTGTTGAGCGACTTATTATTGGTTTTGATAAACGAAATTAATTAATTTAATTAACCATGATAATTATTAATCCCAATTGTCGCTAAAGATTTGATGGAATTATATTACACTTATTTCTATTTCACAATATTTAATTAACTAATTTAGTTTAAAATTATAAATACACTATAATCTAATTATCTGACATAATCTGACATATTTACAGATTAATAAGCAGATATATTATATTTTTAGTAGTACCTGATGAATGTAAAACTATTCTAAATATTATGATATAAATACAATATGAATTATTATATTTTTAAGTTAAACAAATATTCAACATAATGCTAAATAATATAATTACGGGACATTCAATTAACTTATAGGTAGTTAACAAATATCATTTACAAACTAAACACCAATGGTCTCAATAGCTATATCAGCAGTAATTTGATCAGATTTTTTAGGTTTAAACAAATCCTTAACAAAGTCCTCAAACTTTTGGCGATTTTCATGATAACACTTATGAACGGCTGTTAACAATACACATACGCTGATGAGTAGTGCGCCCACAATGGACTGCCACTGGAGGGACTCCCCAAAAATGACCATGTCCCATATAAACGCAAGTACAAAATTAAAACTCCTGGTGACCGTTATGGGTCCCGGGCTCTCGTACCTAAACGCCGTGGTCTGGAAGTACTCATCCAGAGCACCGGCACACCCCATGAGCAATAATAGTAGCCATGTTTTTACGCCCCGAGGCATTGTCCAGGTATCTATAAATGATAGTACGATACTGCCTATTACTACGACAGTGGCCGAGTACCACATGACCACCACGGGCACCGGGGTCGTTGCGAGTTTACGGAGGTTTATGATGGACATGGCACTAGTAATGGCACCGGTAGTGGATAGTATGATACCCAACCACCTCTGGTCGTAATCATCAAGACTACTGGAGCTTCCAAATATGAACTCCGGTTTTGAGATTATGAATACCCCGATGACTGTGATGATACCGGTTACGATTGGGAATATTTTAGGCCTTTCCTTGAATATGAAATACGTGAATATAGGTACGAATACCGGTGCGGTCTGGTATATAGTGGTGGAGTCCGATAGAGGCATCAGTCTATATGCTATGTATAGTGTGATGAGACATGTGGTGCCCGTTAGGCATCGCTGGGCTAAGTCAGCCCCGTGGCCGGGTATGCCAAACATTGGGTACCCCTTGACAACTGTTATGATGAAGTATGGGATGAATTNGCACCGTCTGTTTCCATCGCATAATGCAAACAAAATAGTTATTAATAATTAATAACATATCCATAGGTTTTGTAGAGGGGATTAACTCTCGCAAAAAATATGTACTCAAAATTCATGTTACATTTGAGACCAAACCCACTATAAAAACAGACACAAAACAGTGCGAAAACCTTTGGTGTATAAAGAAATATGTAATTTAAATGTGAAAACAGACAACACTTGTATATCAAAATAATTCAAAAACTAATAACATCTATATTTCAAAATCTACTTATAATTCAAAATCATTTTTAACAAAAAACTTATTCTCATTTCAGAAGCGAACAAAAAAATAAGAAAAATTCAAAACTAATATTACATTTGGAGATCAAAACTACTGATAAATTATTATAATAAAATACAGTCTATACTCCTTAAAAGCAACCTCTACAAGAGCAATTCTCCCAATAAGCAACACATTTCTAAAGCACCGGCCGCTTTTATGGCAAGTGTAATGTTAAAGCTTCCCTATAAGAGCAATTTCTATAAAAGCAAAAATTCCACAAAAGCAATAGGATTTTCAACACAATCAATGCAATTCTCTCTATTAAAGCAAAATAATATAAATTGAAAATGATTTTAAAAATTAAAACCTTTAAATAAAATATATTTAATTATTATTAACTTAAGTTTATAGCGATGAACCTATTTTTAATTTATTTTCATTATTTATAAATATAAAAATATTTATTTTTGTCTATCTAATAAATATTTAAATTAATCCTAAGCAAATTATTTAAATCCATCTAATAATTAAATAAATTACTTTTAAAATATAAACATAATGTGATATATTATATATTATAACTAACATGTATTAATGACAATAGAGTAATGTATAAATTATTTAATGAAATAAGAATTTACGTATTTGTCCGTTATATATCCAAAACATTTTTGTGATAGTTAACTAAATCTAAACTTAATGTGAGATTTAACTTGCTTTAAATGCTGAATTTATGATGAAAATTACTTTAAAATAGAATATTAATGTTTACTTACAAGTAAAGTATATTATTGAACATTTAGGGGGTGCTTTATTGAATACGTAATTATTGACGTTTTTTATGGTAATTCCCTATAAAAGCAACTCTCTTTATAAGCAACTAATTTTCAAATCACCAATGACTTGCTTTTATAGAGTATAGACTGTAGCATTGAATTTTTCAGGATAAATAATAATAAATAAAAATAGCAAACAAAACACAAAAAAGTAGTTTAAAAAGTTTGTCATTTATTTAAAAATATTGCGACAAAAAACAAATATTTAGGTTAATTAATACCACACATAATATATAAGCGCATAAAATAATAAGCTATGAATACGTTGAATATATGTATTTTTAAGGCATTTGCAATCAATTCAACTGAATGAAGGACTAGTTTTTTACATATTTTCCTTTTTTTAATCATAAACTAATGCTTTAATTACTCCGAAAGGACTATCGATATTAATATGAAAGCCAAACACACACTAAATAATACACTAATGGCTGACAGCTCAGCGAAAAAGCTATCACTAAATCTAATATTCAGTTAGACTTTTAAATTATTATATTTGCAATCAAACGACTGTATAATGAAAATACAAAATTCGTGATAAATGTTTTTGAATTCACAACTTATGTGACAATAGATAAGGGGATGAAAAAAAAATCAGACAACACATCGACTGATAAAATAGTGATTAGAAAATTGAGGTTAGGATTGAAACGATTGGCGATCCCTTTAATTAAGATGAGAGAGAAAAAGCACTCTTTGGAGACTCGCATGGATTGCATTACCACTTCAAATGGAGACCCAAAACACACCAACAGTTTTGTGGGGACTTCAAAGACATCTCTCATTATAAATGGACTTAAACTACACGAAGACATCAATAATTAAACAAATAAATCAGTGGAAAGACTACGAAATGATTGCAAAAACCAAGAATATATGCACTGATAAGATATCCCTAAATCCCAATCGATACGACAAATTAATGGCAAAATGTTTTAGACATCAAAACAAAAATCTCAGTTCAGACGGAAGTGCTCGCAATGTATGGGTTTTTATAAGAGAGTGAACGGAGACTACAAAAAATAAAATCAAAAAAAACGTAATTGTGTTTCAAAAGCTTGGGCTTTAAATTCAATTAATTTCTAATATAATATATACAACTGTAGTATACACACACACACAGCTACTTCATACGAATTGTTATAATTGGCTAATAAGGGCTCAAATTAAATATAAAAACCTTAAAAAGCATATCAAACGTCGACATAGAAAATAAAATAAAACTGAATTTAATTAACGTTTCAAAAACACGGACGCAATCATAACTAGTGAATAGACTGATAGACATACGTAGAGACAAAAATTCAAAACACAATTGTTTTTAATTGAGTTTTCATTTCGCAAGTCTTGACTATTGCGGAAATGGCGAAAACAAAGGCACAATTGTTTCGAGAATTAATACATTAAAACACTATTTTTCCGATTCATAAATCATCTCCAAATGACATTTGACTTCTCAATCGATTAGTGCATATATATCAGTGAAAAAACGAGTGTTTTATTGAACCCTCGATTGAAATGTCGACAAAGAAATCACTCGATGAGAGAGAGAGAGAGAGAGTTCTCCAAATGACATTTGACTTCTCAATCGATTAGTGCATATATATCAGTGAAAAAACGAGTGTTTTATTGAACCCTCGATTGAAATGTCGACAAAGAAATCACTCGATGAGAGAGAGAGAGAGAGAGCTATTGTTGCAGAATATGTGTGAATAAATTGGTGTGAACATTTCTCAGTTAATTAACGCAATGGAAAACCTTTTCGCTCTACCATTTTCTATTGAATTGTAACGGAAAGCAAAAAATCATTTAAAATACGAACTGATTTCTGGGAAATAACGATCAGAAATACAAATTCAATGATTTTTCAGAGTAAGAGAAATGCCTAAAAGGGAGAGACAACTCATACCATAAGAGATAATTAGATCTAAAAGTCTAAAGCATTGCTACAATGAATGGCAGGACTTGTTGTTAATTCTAACTCTCTATTCAATGCTATTACTGTATTAAATGGATCGGGAAAAAAGGTTTTCCACTCATTAAAATGCAAACTAAATGAATGAATAATTACAGTAAACTTCAAACCAAATGCAAAGACATTACGAAACAAAAGAAAAGCTCACGAATTATAGGTTAACATAAGACATACTGACGACGGTATATATATAAGTAATTAATAGTTGGGATAAATGTTAGGGATTTAAAAACTTATACGAAATTATAGTCAAATGAAAAGACATTATAATACATAGTGTAGTAGCGGTTAATAAAAGCATTGATCGCTTATTTTATGAGGAAATGAAATATAATTAAGAAAATTGAGACAAAATTAAGT